CCGCTGGGCTGACCAGCGCATGCGGGCCCCACTGACATGCATGTGGCGGCGCCGTTTGCCGCTAGCGTGCAGTTGGGCTTGTTGCCGAGGCAGACGAAGCCGGTGCAGGGGTGCGCCTTGCACGTCCCTCCCGCGCAGATCTGCCCGCCTGGGCACGCGCTCTCGGTCGAGCAAGCTGCAAGAAGCGGCGGGGGGGGGGGGAGGGGGGGGCAGGCGCTCACGCAACTCTCGGGGGCAGAATGGCAGGCTTGGCAAATAGAAACAGAGCAGCAGCGGCGAGGGGCTGCGCTGGGGTGGGGCAGGACAGGCTGGGCGAGGGCAAGGACACGGGCGGTGCGCGGCTTGGCAGCGCGCCACGCAGGCGGCGTCGCTCACCTATTGGCAAGCACTGGGCCGTGCCGTTTGCCGCTACGGTGCAGTTGGGCCGGCTGGCAGGACAGCTGAATCCTGAGCAGGGGTCCGCCTTGCAGGCACCGTCTAAACAGACCTTGCCACTGGGGCAGGCCAGCCCAACCGAGCACGCTGCGGGCCGCAGGCGCGGGGGAGGCACAAGAGGTGGGGGCCTGCCAGGCAGCCCAGGGTTCTGGCAGGGCGGCGGCCATCTGGCTGGCTGGCCTACAAGCCTGCGTGCCTTCCTTCCCTACCTGGTTTGCACTCGTAGGTGCCGTCGGCTGCTGCTGTGCAGTTGGGCTTGTTGCTAGGGCAAGTGACGCCAATGCAGGGGTCGTCCCCGCAGATGTCGCCCACGCAGGCCAGGCCCGCCGGGCACGGCTGTTCGGCCGAGCAGGTCACCACATCGTCTGCGCGGCAAAAACGGCAAGCGAGGAGGCTCAAGATCGACTGTTTGGCTGCTTGAATGTTGGCTGCTCCAGGGTAGGGCAAGCAGTGATGAGGGCACCCCCGGGGCCGACCCAGCTCGGAGGTGCCTCAGCAGGCAGGCCCTGCACGCCCCCAGCGCACCTGCCAGACACTGCGGTGTGTAGGTGCTCGTCAGCCGGCAGCGCGTGCTGTTTGCTGTGCACGGGTTCCAGGCAGCCCCCTCCTGGCACGGGTTGGTGCGGCAGTATGTGCCGGGCACCGTGGGGTGCGCCGGCGCGCAGACTAGGAAGGAGGCGCAGGGCTCGATGTCGGAGCAGGGCTGGAGACAGTCGTAGCAGCCGTTGTGGTCCCTGACACACGCCATGCCCGGCAGGCACTCCGTGGTGCACGAGGTGCTCGCACACGCCGCGCACCGTGCCTGCCCCGTGCCATCTGTGTCACATCTTTGACCGTTTTTGGCGCAGCAGGTGGGTGAACCCACGCTGCCGCTGCAGCTGATTTGAGAGCCTGTGCAGTCGGGCTGGGCCGCGGCCAGCGGCCGGCCGCCCAGGACGGCCGCCGCCAACGCCACCGCCAGCGCGCGCCATAGGGCCGCGGCTGGTATCCGCTCCACACGCGCCGACGGCATGCGCGGACCGCTCCTCAACGTGCCATGACGTATTCTGCGGAAGCGGGCGGGCAGGGAAAGGCCGCGGGCGGCGAGCATGACCTCTGGCGCAACGCATCCCAGCTACCCAGCTCCGCGGCCGGCCATGCCCTCCAGCCAGCCCCGCAGACCTGCAGATGCCGGGGACGGGCGGGGGCTGACGGGCGGCGTACCTGGGCGGCGAACGAGGCCAGCTACTGAGGGTGGGATACAGCGGCTGCGTGGTGCTGAGAGCACGAGAAGCTGAACAAGCCCACGGGCCGCGCAGAACGCGAATGTTTAGCGTGCTACGCAGGCAGCGTCGCAGGAAGTGGGCACTTGGGGCTTTCTTGGGGCGTCCTGGGGAGAAGCCGCCCTCTTCCGGCACAGTTCCTCGATCATCAGACCCCTGGCATCCCTTTGGCACCAGTAGCGCCCACTGGGGCGGGCAGCACGGCACGAGAAGAGACCTGAGCAGTGCCCCCTTGCCCCCGGGCGGGAGCTCCAGCGCGCCGCCCGCAAGCCGCAAAGGAAGCCAGCCGGCGCGCCGCTGGTATGCACCTGAGCAACGCGCCCTCCTCTGCTGCACCCTCACAGCGGGCCAGAGTGCGCTGAACAAGCCCAGCCAGGAGGCACGCACGCCAGGTCTGCAGCCCAGCGCTGTACCGCCCCGCACGCCCTGCCCGCGCGCTGTGCTCAGATGGGAGCATGCATTGTTGCAGCGCACGGCGGCGCAGGTGGCAGCATGGAGGCAACTCACAAAGTTGGTTTGAAGGCGGGAACGACAGCAGTATTCAACATGCAAAACATGAGAAGAACAGTGCCTGTTGAAGGAGGTGAGAAGGAAACCAAAGAATGATGATTGATGATTCGTAAGCAATGAACATCTCTCGCTTTCGCGAGGGCAAAACACGAAGGAGAGCCTGGCATGGGGGCAAAAAGGTAAAGGTAAAGGTGGGGAAGAGCCTCCACAAGCTTCACTTCCCGGTTTTAACGTCTAGCTTTAGACCATTATTTGATCTGCCCGACGCGCCAAGTGCAGTACCCCCCACTAGTAGTGAATGGGTCCCGGGGAGGCCTGTGCCGAAGCCTTGGCGATTCTATTAGGCGTTCCCGAAGGAATTGGCTTGGATTGGCGCTGAGCCGGTCAGCTATGCCGCGTTTGTCCTCACAAAGTTTCGACATGGGAGCATGCATGGTTGTGATAGCGAAGGAGGATGGACATGGGAGAAGGGTGTTGGCAAGCCGTGGCAGCCATAGTATCATTGAGCACACACCCCTGCGGGGGCGAGCAGCGGAGCAGAGAAGGAAAATGCACACAAACCGAGGGCCAGGAAGCGGCGGGGTGTGCAAGGGAGGCAAGGTGAAAGGAGGGAAACAGGGATGAAGCCATGCTCAAAGCAGGGCACATGAGGGACTATACCCGGGGGACGGCGCTGTTAGGCGCCAAAAAAATAGGACCGAGACTGCATTGCGGGGCTGGTCATTCGTTGGGTTGGCCAAAGGGAAGCTACAAAAGCAGCCCCTGGGTTGGCTGCTCGTGGCAGCCGGCGGGGCTGCCGGCCAGACGTCGCCTGCGTCCTGCCTTCTTCTGCTGCCGAGCTGCTTGCTGCGCCGCTGCTGTTGCTGCCGCCTCCTGCGATCGGTTGCGCCGCACCGATGCGCGCCGCACCGGGACCTGCTTCCTCGGCGGCCGGCGCACGTGCACCTTGACGCACTTCCAGGGCCGTCCTGCGCCCTGCTGCTGGCACGCGAATCCAATGACGCAGGCGGGGTTGCACGTTGCGCCAGAGCCAACTGCAGCACCAGGGAACAAAGAGGCCAGGAGCGAGGCAGCACGCATCAGCGGGCAATGCCAGTCTTGGCAGCCAGGCGCAGGCGGGCTCGCGCCACCGCACCGCCATCCGCTGCTCCCAGCCCATGTCATGGCCTCGAGCGCCTGGCAGCTAATTGGGGTGTTGCGCGCGCCACTCACTTGGCACGCACTGCGCCGTGTTGTTGGTCGACTTGACGCAGCGCTGGTTGGTGGGGCAGGTCACGTTGGTGCAGGGGTGCACGAGGCAGGTGCCGTTGGCGCAAAACTCTCCGCTGTCGCAGGCCGTGTCGTTTGTGCAAGGCGGGATCACTGCAGGGGCGTGCGCATCCGGCGGCAGTGGCGTGAGGCTCGACTTGCGCGGCAGCAAGGAGGGCCGACGCGAGAGGGTTGCTGGCGCCGCTGCCCAGCTGGCCCAGTAGCGTGCAGGGCCGCATGCAGACCTGCGCTGCGGTTGCCAAGGTGGCAGCCAACAGCAGCATCCCGCCAGGCCCCAGCATACCTGGCAAGCAGTGCGGGGTGTAGTTGGCTGTCAGCTCGCAGCGCGTGCCGTTTGCTGTGCACGGGTTCCAATATTCCCCCGTCGCGCATGGGTTGGTGCGGCAGTAGGTGCCGGGCACCGTGGGGTGCGCCGGCGCGCAGATTTGGTGCGAGTAGCACTGTGTCGCGTCGGAGCAGGGCACCAGGCAGTCGTAGCAGCCGTTGTGGTCCTTGAGGCATGTCCTGCCTGGCAGGCACGTTGGGCAGATGGACGGGCAGGTCGCACACCGGGGACCTCCCGTCGTCAGAGTGCCGCAGATGAAGTTCAGTTTGTTGCAGCATATCGCTCTACTGCCGCCTGTGCCGCTGCAGGTGTGCTCCGTGCTGTCGGTGCACGGCGCATACTTGGTGCCGCCACCCGGGGGCAGCAGCTGCGCCAGGCGGCGTGCGGTCGTCAAGAGGGGGCTGAGCCCTGCCTGCCGCTGCGCCAGCTCCCGCCGGCCTGCTGCTCCCCTTGATCTTCCTGCTGCTGCTGAAGAGGGTTCCATCAAGCCGTCGTGTGCTACACCGGGCCCAGCCGCCAGCACGAGCGTTATTAGTAGCAGGGAGAACATTCCGGCTGGGCTGGCGAGCCCTCTGCTGGGGCTCATTGCCGCAGTGAAGGCTCTATGGTGCCGTGGGAGCGCCTGCAAGCGAGGGAGTCGAGAGCGCTAAGCGGGGGCGGGGGGCCCTTGTGTCCCACGTCAACTGACGCACGCAGCCGGCTCTGGCGCCCGGCCTGCCCACCCCTGGGCAAGCGCCGACGCTGGATCCACGCACCCGGCCACCAGGAGATGCACCGCGCCCAAGTCCTTGGCACGTAAAAGGCGGCGTGTCGAAGGGTGATGGATGGGTGCTGTAGAGCGGGTGGGGTTCAATGCAGAGGGAATGGTGGACGGTGGCCACTCTCGCGACCCGAGGCCCCGTGTAACGTGCCACGCGAAGCGGGGCTCAGTACCAGCCGCGATTTCTGCGTTGTGGCTTTGGGTCTCGCCAATGTGTGGCAGCCAGAGCCACCACAGAGCTTCCCGCGCCTGCTGAAGTGCCTCATGCACCCTGTTGCCGGCAACAACTGCCCGCGCGCACCGCCTGCTGCTAGGGCACCAGAAGTCCCTGAATTTTTCCAACACACAACTTGATTCAATCTGGACCTCACAAGGAGCGGCCCCTGCCCCTATGGGTCTTGTGCACTGCACCCTTACTGCGGCCCGCCGAACCGCGCGCCGCCGCTATTACCGCCTGCCCTTGCATCCCACCCCTCTTGTGCTTAAACTGTCGGATCCCCACCGCCCCCTGCTTATATTGCTCTGAGGGAGGCATGCAGTGTGTTGCAGCCATACAGTGCGGAGCACAAGAATGGCAGGCAGGGAAGACAGCCTGCAGGTGTCGCAGCGGCTGGTTGGTGCCCCGCGTGCCCCGCCGACCGCCCTGCGCAGCTCAAGGGTGGGCGCCGCCGGGCCTCTTCAGAGGGCTGCCGTGCAGGCTGATGCGCCTGTTGGGCACACCGCCGCCGCCGCCGGTGCCGGCCTTGACGCGGAACAGCTCCTGGCTCAGCTCCTGCTGCCAGATGGACTCCCGGTCGCCACCCCCGCCGCCGCCCCGCCCGTTGCCAAAGCCCAGCCTCGTCAGGCCGCCCATGGCTGCCGCCAGCGGCGCTACGGGCGGAAGGGCGCCGGCGGAAGGCTCCTGCGCGGCAGGCATCACGTGCTGCGCCGCGGCCGCCCTGCGCCAGCTGTCGTCCACAGGAGCGCCGCCCGCTGCCGCCGGCTGGGGCATATGCAGCTGTCGCTGCTCCCTCCTGCCCCCGCCGGCCGCGCCGCCGCTGCCCCGACTCTCAATGCTCTCCGCCACGTGCTGCGCCTGCTTCCCCTGCTGTGCCTGCGCCACCCTGACCGTCGGGGCGGCACCCGGCGGGCTGGCGGCAGCAGCTGCCGCCGCCTTGGGCGAGGCCGATGGGTGCACCGCGGGGATGTTCATGCTCTTCTCAAACAGAATCAGGGATGCCCGCACATCGTGCTGGGCCTGCACAGCACAGGGTGGAATACAGGCAGGCATGGGGTTGTGAGGGCGCACAGAGAGAAGCGCGCCGCGCGGGATGCTGATGTTGTCTCCGCTGCTGCCTTCACTGTCTTTCAGCGCCACCAAGCAGGCAGCAGCATGATTGAGAAAGCAGGACAGGGCCGCAGGGTCGGGGCTGGGGCTGCTGCAGAGCCAGGCGGCCGCCGCCAGCGTGCATGCCACGCCAGCCGGCCACCCGCAGCCGCAGGCAGGCCAGCCAGACCCCCCCGCACCTTGCGCCTCAGCGCGCCGATCAGCGCATCCTCGTCCACAGGATCCGCGGGCTGCTTGGCCGGCAGCTGCTGGTGCCACGTGGCGGCGCCGTTGTCGGGCCCCGCCGCCGCGGCCTCCGCCTCCCCCTCCTCCCCGCCCTCGCGCTGCCCGCTGCTACCTGCGCTCCAGCCGCCCATGTCCCAGGGCAGCGCATCAATGTCGCCGTCCTCATTGGTCCACACCATGTGGTCTGCAGACGGGTGCTCCGCATACACAGGCGCTGCCACGGCAGGGGGCGGCGGGGACGGGGCAGCTGCACCGGCAGCCTGCTCCGCCCCGGCGCCTGGCGCCGCCGCCGCCGCCTGCACCCCCGCCACAGCGGGCTCCCCGGCGGGCAGCGCCGCTGGGTAGCTGGAGGCCTCCTGGCCGCCCGCCGCGCCGCCGCCGCCGGCTGCCTGCTCCGGGGTGCCGTCTGCTGTGTTGCCGGTGGTCAGAGCGCTGGTTGGCGTGCCCTCTCCCGCCAGAGGAGACTCCAGGGGGTGCATCCAGGAGGGCTCTTCCATGGGGTTGTAGTCGCTCTGGAGGGCAGCACACAGCGCAGCGCAGCATACAGCCAAGTGAGGCAGGGTCAGGGGTAAGGCAGCGTGAAGCGAAGCACGGCATGGCACAGGGCTCTTCGCCTCAAGGCACAAAAACACGAGGCCAAGCCTGGCCAAGCCTGGCCAGGTCTGTGCCAGCAGCCCCGGCACGCCCATCCCCGGCCAGCCCACCTTGCTAGTGCCGCTGGAGGTGTCTATGCTGTGAGGCGTAGTGGCCGGAGCGCGCTGCCGCTGCCCCGCAGGCGTCAGCCCCGCAGCGTCGCCAGCGCCGCCGCCATCCTCCCCTGCCTCCCCTGCCGCCACCTGCTCCTGCTGGCCCTCGGCCACCTCTGGTACCAGATGGCTGGGTGCCGGGTCAGCTGCCTCTGCCTCTGCTGGCAGCACAGGAGAGGAGGCCTCACGCTCCGGCCGGGCGGCATCTGCCCCAGCCTCGCCGCCGCCGGTAATCAGCATGCTGCTGCCCTCTTTGCTGCCGCGATGGGCGCTGGGAGACTGCTGCACCTGCTGCGCAGGCGCCGCCGCGGCGCGCCCCGGCAGCGGCGCGAGCGGCTCCAGCGCCGCCTGCTGCGACAGCGCCACAGAGGCGTAGCCGCTGAAGGCGGGCGCGCTGGCACGCAGCGACATGGCAGGCCTCTTCACAGGGCTGCCCGTCATGCGGCCGCTGTGGGCAGGCGCCTGCTGCTGCTGCTGCTGCTGCTGTGGCGTCGGTGCCGCGGCGGAGTCCCACTGCTGCTGCCTGGAGGCCGCGTGGTGGCCCAGCGGGCTCAGCGCGGCCGTGCTGTCGCTGGGGGCGCCGTCCCCGGCCTGCACGCTGATGCGAGGCGCCGCCTGTTTGGGGTTGAGCGGCGACGGGGTGCCAAACTGGCCGTCGCCGGGCTCCGGCCCGCCCATGGCCGCCGCCGCCGCCGCCGAGCCGCCGCTGGAAGAGCGAGGCATACGGCAGGCCTGCAGGCAGGACCCGGCAAGCCGCCAGTCGCAGGTCAGTGCGATGGTCTCCCAGCAGGCGCAGCCAGCTGTTGCTGCCGCCATGCTTCCGGCAAAGGTGTCCCCACAAAGCAGCAGATTTGGTGTTCCCCAGGAGGAAACACAGCCCTGCCCTCGCAGCGCGTGCCCAGCCCCAAAGCCAGCGCAGCCTGCCGCCACCAACCCACCCTGCCCCCACCTGCGCCAGCGCGGCCGCGTTGGGGGAGGGCCCGCCGCCCTGCGAGCGCAGCGGCACATCTGCCAGGAAGGGGTGGCGCAGCAAGGTGGAGGCCAGCGGGCGCGCCTTCCAGTCGCGGTTGAAGCACAGGTACAGAAAGTCCTTGCACTCGGGAGACAGGTGCTGCGGGATCTCGGGGGGTCCCTTGGTGGAGGCGATGTGAAACATGGCGGCCACCTGCGCCAGGGCAGCCACGCCACGTCAGCACAGCCACGTCAGCGCCGGCCACGCCAGCCTGTGAGCTTACCACGTCGCCCCAGCCACGCGGCACCCCAGCCGCCAGCCCCGCCGCGCCACAGCCAGCCCCGCCAGGCAACCTGCCTCGCCACCATGCTGGCAAGCACGCCGGCCTGGGCTGCTGCGTGGCACCCGCGGCAACGCAGGTCCATGGCCCTGCACGCCTCGCCTCCTTTCCTCCCCGCGTACCTGACTGGGGTACTGCGTGCTCCAGGGCGGCCGCCCCGTCGCCATCTCCAGCACCGTGCACGCCACGCTCCACAGGTCGGCCTGCCGCCCGTGCCCCGTCTGCGTGATGACCTCGGGAGCCATCCAGTAGGGCGTGCCCTTGACAGACTTGTTGCCGTCAGCTGCGGCAGGGCGGCGGGCACAGGCAGGCAGGCAGATGAGCAGGCGCTGCACGCATTTCGTCATCCCTCCCGGCCGGGGCGGGAGGAAGCGCACGTCGAGCCAGCCTGTGCTGCCAGCCCTGCTCAACCCGTCGCCTCCCAGCCGCTCACCACCACCACCACCACCACCACACCACCACCCAGCCACCGGCTCACCCACGGTCACCAGGTCCTCTAGCTTCTTGCTGGCCCCAAAGTCGGCCACCTTGACCAGCCCCGTGTTGTCCACCAGGATGTTGGCGCCCTTGATGTCGCGGTGCATCACGCCCTTGCTGCAGCACGGCCCACGCACGCAAGGGCGGCGCGGCGCGGTGGGGCACGCCAGGGAGGGGCCAGCAGGCAGTGGGAGGGAGGCAGGCAGGCCAACCACAAGGCCACGCCAGCCGCGGCCCCCGCTCCGCACGCTCGCGTGTGGCGGCCGCCTGCGCCTCCGTGCTCCTTCGCCTGCCTGCCTGCCTTCCAGCCCCACCACAGCAGCGCAGCCTCCCCCCGCTTGTTTGCTGCCCCTGCCTGCCTTGCCTGCCCATGACCGCCCGCCCGCGCCCGCCTGCCCGCGCCCACCTGTGCAGGTACTCCAGGCCCAGCAGGATCTGCTTGGTGTACACCCGGATCACGCTCTCCTTGAAGGAGCCAAACTTGGCCAGCAGGGAGGCGATGGAGCCTCCGGGCACATACTCCAGGAAGATGTTGAGCGCGCCGTCGGTCTTCTCGGTGCCCTGCGGCGGCGGGCGTGGGGCAGCGGGGTGGGAGGAGGCGCGGGCACGAGGCGCTCGGCGAGGTGGGGCAGGCGGAGCAAGGCGCGCAATCGGCATACAGAAACATGCTCACGCCAGCACCGACCCCATGAGCTCCACCCCGCCTACCCCC